GATTTCTGAATTTTATAAATCAAAACACTAGATGACAATTTTGACAGTAAGTCAGCACCTCTCATTAATTGCAGAAAATGTATAATATTATATTAAATATTTTATTATATAGCCATAAATATTTTTAAAGTTCGTAGAAGTGATTAATGTTGTTATTTTAAATTAAAATATTATTATATTTTGAAAAATTTATTCCGCGGAAACAGATAACATAATACTAAATGTCATTTTTTGAAATCACTGCACAGACGAGCAAAATTTTTTGGTGATTTTATGACTTGAAAAGTCTTCTAAATTATAATAGAAGTTATGGAAGATTCTAAACTTAAGATTTATTAAAATAAGTTAGTGGTAATCACAACATCACTGCAAAAGCGTCGACAGTTGACTGCATGTATGAGTAATAAAAGTTGACTGTCTGAAATCATTGAAATCGACAGTGGATAACTAGCATAAACCTAATATGGAACATATTATGTATATCTTTTTGTTGCTAACAAAAATAAGTAATTATATTACTTAAAAAATACTTTAAAACCAATTTGAATATGGATTATAGCATTTTAATAATAAATATGTTAAAAAACTTCACAGATTATTTCTTACTAATCGAAAATTCAATCGCTTTGTTCCAGTTATGTTTTAACAGATTACAGAAATATAAAACACGGTAATATTACATATTACATTACCGTGTATAAAATCTCGAGTAGTATTTACATTATTGTTATCAACATTACACAGGTAAATGTTAAATGAGCATGAATTTGTAGTTTACTTTGTATTGTTACATAAATAAAAAAATGATAAAAATAATTTAACAAACTTTTTACTTTAAATAAATGCATTACTAAGAAAGTTAGTTGTTTTATGTTAATCTTTATTATTTACTAGCAGAACCCGCGGCTTCGCTTGCGCTAAAACTACAAAAAATAATTTAAATACGTAGCTTTCATAAAAACTATCATCCCCTATTTTACCCCCCTATGGGATGAATTTAGAAAAATGCTAAAACTCGTATTTATTTAAATGTATTGAGGAACCAAGTTTCAAGTAATTCTGATCATAAATATTTCTTAACAAGTTTTTCTGTGGGAATGAGATAATCTCCCACGGTAAAAAGTAGGCTCTGTCTCTCTAGCCCTCCAACTATCTCCACACAAAAAATCACGCCAATCCGTCACCCTGTTTCGACGTAAAAGAAGGACAAACAAACAAAAAAACAAACACACTTTCACGTTTATAATATAAAAAAAAAGTATGGATATGGATAAACGTACATTATTTAACTCTCGAGTTGTGTAAGATACAATAAGTATACATTGAAAATTAGTCTGGACTGTATGGTAGGACCCAATAGATGGCGTTGCAGCCTAGATTTTAGAAGTCTTGTATATATGAGCTAAAACGACTAATAGGTACTCTCAATAAAGTACTACAAAAGTAAAAAGAACTAAACAAGTACAACTATTATAAATGTGAATATATGTATGTTTGTTACTTTTTCTCGTTGAAATGGTTTTCGATAAAATTTAGTTGATACACAGATAGACCATGATTTGGAATAGCACATATTGCACCTAGGGATGCACCCGAGTAAAACGAGCGTAAGTATACTATATTGGTAGGTTTTGGTAAAAGAAGATGTAGACCCTATAGATAGCGTTATTACTTTTATATTTTGACAAGAGAAGTCTAAACAAACGAAAAACGTCTGCTTTAACACCTCCCGGTAAATTTCTAAGAAATTAATTAAAATTCTAGGAAATCTAAATTGACACGCCAGCGTATCCGCGTTCGTGGTGGGGTTAAGCTGTTATCTTATATCTTAATATATATAATTCTTCTGTACGTGTGTTTGTTAACCTACTCCTCCTAAAGGACTGAACCGATTTGGATAAAATTTTGTGTGTATATTTCAATGGGCTCCTGGATGGTTTGAAAATACAAATGAACAAGGTATGTAGGTGGCGCTGCAGTCGGTGTGTCACTAAATTTTCATAAAAGACTCCATTTTCCGAGCATTAAATACATTTAAATTGTTGATTAAATAAAATAATAATCGATGTGTGTATGTATGTTTCCTATGGACTCCAAAATAGCTAGAGCGATTTTGATGAAATTTTCAGGTAGATAATCTTCAGATTAGCCCAGCGGGTGGTCCTGTGAATTTCGTTAGAGAACGGAAGTTTAGACGCGGGCGAAGCCGCGGGTACTGCTAGTATGTATATGTTATGCATGTATCTTAGTAGTTTTTTTAACAAGGAAGCAAATGTTAACAGGGAAAGACGTGTTACTACGAGTATTGGTGATTGAGTAAGCCGCAGCTTTGTGTTAAAGTGAAGAAGTAAAACAGCGCATTTCCCAGTTTCCAACGCAGTGTTAGTGGTACCTAACTAAAACTACGAAGCCTACCACCATGACAATAATTATGAAATTATATTTTATTCAGTAATACATAACATAGGTAAATGTGTAATGTGATGGTACAGCGCTCTTGGTTTTTGGCTAGCTTTTGTGTCATCTTGGTGGTTACCCGTTGTCCAAAATTTATGTATCTATTTATTATTATATACAAAGAGCTGTGAAAATAATACATACTTATAAGCTATTTAGAACATTTAAATATACTATTGTGTTATGATCATCATTATGCTGTCACAGTGTTTAAATTACCGCTACTTTACTAGTTTTTCATAAACATCCGACATTATAAGTTATAGTGCAAAGAATGAGTTCTTTTATCAGGGCCTTTTTTAATATAAACTCAATTTACGTATTATTAAATTTTAGAAAAAAATATATTTCAAGCCGTAATTTGGCCTTGTGCACTAAAAAAAAACTACCCCACAGTTTTATTTAATACACGGGCCGATAATCAAATAGAAAATGTTATTGAAATAGTCATTATTATCGATACAGAGGCCGAATGTATAGTTTTTAGAATTTTTGTCTGTCTGTTTGACTGGCATCACGAGAAAACCACAGAATAGATTTTGATGAAATTTGGTATGATGATATCTGGTTATCCGGGTCAACGTATAGGATACTTTTTACTGCGGGAAAATATCTCATCTCTGAGAAATCTATACTAAACGTTAAAATATAACTAGGGACGAACCCGAGCGGAGCGAGGTTGAGTCGCTAGTATCTCTTATAAGGTTTGCTATTTTATCAAACTCTGAAAATGCATATCAGTGCACATATGTGTGCAATCTGCCGAATATAGCATTAGTATCTTCGAAATATACCGAAAGCTAGATTGAGTGAGATTGGCAGCTGTGACCTAAAATTTTTCTGGTTCAATTTGCCAAAAACTTTTTTACATGGGTACTGTCTTTTTGAGTGTAATCGAATATTTTTGTAAAATTTCAAGTGATTCATAGGGATCCGGTTTGAGGAACTCCAGTCAAGTTATACCTACTTATTATTCTAGCCATTTTATTAGTCTCGCTTAGCTTGCAAAAGTTAAAAATATTACAAGACTTTAAAAGTTCATATTGCAATCGCGGTAAATTCCTAAATATATGTACATATTTTAGAGTGCCTAATGGCTAATTCATTGACCACTTTACGATGTTACTTTTGCGCGTGTTCGATGTCGATGACACAATGCTATTTTTGACTGGCCTAAAATACGTGTAGAGCAAGAGAACAATCTATCTTGCCTCAGTTAATGTTCTACGATTAAGAAACATCTGGTTAAATTAAGAAATAGATTTTATTCTATTTTTGAATGTTTAAACGTATTATATGCAGATATATTATTATTATTTTTATGTTTCAAATTTATATTATGTATTATATATTTTTAATGTTTCAAATTTATTGAACTACAGGTTGTATAAAAAATAAATTAGTATGTATGATAACTTTCTTTTAATAACAATTATTTCTAATTAAATAAAAGTGACACTAAACATTAAATAAAAAAAAAATATTGCAATATACAAAAATATATTTAGAAATTTTAAAGAATTTTGGTCGTTACGATTGAATTTAATACATAATTCAATATGGCACGTTCTGTCTTATGACAAAGTAGCATTGCCCGCGGCTCCGCCCGCGTCCAGATGACCAAAAACCAAACTCTTAGGTTTTACATATTAGTATACTCTTACAATGCAGTTTTTGTATTTTTTCTCAGAAATGAGATATTTTCCGGCGGTAAAAAGTATCCTATATGTTGATCCGGATAACCAGCTATCATCATACCAAATTTCATCAAAATCTGTCCAGTGGTTTTCTCGTGATGCGGTAACAGACAGACAGACAGACAGATAGACAAAAATTCTAAAAACTATAGATTCGGACTCTGTATCAATAATAATGTCTATTTCAATTAGTTTTTACAAAAAATATTTAATGCACAGATTCGACTTAGTTACAATTTTATTATATGTATAGATTAACTGTTCACATAATACTTTCTTAGATTTACGCGAATATTTGACATTTTAAACAAAACTCTTTTCTCTCTGGGTCTCTCCCGTGATAATGAATGCTGTAAAGCATTCGAAACGTCGGGAACCAAAAATCCAAATATATTCGCGAAAAAATCCGAAAAGATAGTTTTATTTAAAAAAAACTGTTTTTATAAAAGACTAATATCACATAATTACACTTTACGTATTTGTTATAATAATAACTACCTCCTAGTACGTCATTGTATTTTTAGTACATAAATCAATCACTTAAAAACTAACATATATTGATTTCATATGCTTTGTACATTATACAAATGTAATTTATAAAAATGTTTACACAGCACCATCTAGTTCCATAGTAAGCTACGAGGCCTGTGTTATAGATACCAGATAGTTGATACACTACACATATATAACTTTAAACACATATATATTATAAATATAAAGACCCATGAGTCAAACTGAGTAGAAACATTCGTGCTCATCACACAATCGAATGCCCCCAGCCTGACGCTAGCACAGCAAGTAGGGTCACTACATCTGCGCCAAACGTGTCGTCAGATAGTTTAACTAATCCTTTATGATTTCCATAGGTTTGACCTGTAACTTCTTAGCGAGTGCCGCGCTAGATTCCAACTGCTGCTTTACGTATGATACGGTTCCTCTTAAGTCAGTGATGTGTGCTGCATTCTTTTCTTTATCTCCCGGAGCCAATACTGGGAGTTTTTTGTCTGTCTGTAACGCAAAATAAGTTAGATAAAAGAGAAAGATATAATATTTATCATTTTTTTAATAAAATTATACATGTAAATATGTTAAGTCGTGTTTAGTAATATTTATAAGCAACATTTTTACATAAAAAATATGCCCTTGGTTAATTTCGGCCACGACGGCCAATTTCACTGACATTAGACATCTGCGCAAAAGATTATTCTAGCTCTCACATTCACGATAACAATTCGACACTCACGCTGTGAATTTAAAACAGGTCCAACGTCTTTACGTACTTTCCAAGGCACGGAGGCGTAAATCCAACTTCTCAACTCAGGACTGCTACTGATAATTTCTTATCAGAAAAACTCAATAACTACATCTAAAACATTTCTAGTTATTTATACTCACTGGCTGTAACTCTCTCCAATGTTGTATACAATCAGTAAGACGGTCACCAAAACCAGGTGCGAAGTTTTCAGGATCCACTGCTACAAAGCAATGACCTAAATTTGCAGGGCCGCCTTCTCCACTATGAGACCACGAACGAATGTGGTGACCGTAGTTGGACCCTGAAAAGAAATTAAATTATTTTTAATTCAACGATATTTATAATAAATGTAATATTAGAAATATAAGAAATAATTAATAAGAATGCTGACCTAAAACTTCTATCCTATTTCCCAAATTCATAACTATTAAAGACCATAACATTAGTCATGTTATTTTGCCCAATATTATTAGATATTATTATAATCTGTTCATTAGTACAAGTAAAAGAAGAATGATTTTTCGCACTTATGTTTAAAATGTAGTTTGTAAATTTCCATATATTGCCTTTACCTTTTTTTATATATTTATAATTAGAACCTAATGAAATAAAATATTTAGGACATGAAATTTGGCAATTAATTTACCTGAGCTAATGCCACAAAATAGTTCTACCATTGCAGATAATCCAAATCCTTTATATCCAGAAGTTTCTTCTGCTCCACCCAGGGGCATTAAACACGATGTCTTAAAAGCCTGCAAAAAGATTTTATTTTTTTTTATCTTTTAATACTCTAAATAAATAGCGTACATAACATTTATTGTTCTTAATCCGTTACAGAATTTATTATATATTTTTTTCTTTAATAAGTCGTAGACTTGACCGAGTCAAATAAGATCATAATTTTAGTAAAAGGCTTGAATTTTTGGTACCAATCTAGTTTGAACTACATGTTTTGAAATTATGTACCTATTTATAAAATAGGCAAAGATAGAACAGTTCAGTACCATTTTCTCCTCTATGTGTTAACCGTTTTTTTTGTTTAGAAGCTTAGTGTTATCATTTAAAAAAATACATATTTTTTATATAGATAAATTCTATTCTTATATGTTATCCTCAAATTTTCAATAATGATTATTTATGGTCGAATTTAGACCACTAGACGAAAACCAGTCAAAATAAATAGACCAAATAAGTATGTAAATCATATTCTGATTTTAAAGCTCATTTGATTCATTTTTTATGAGGATCAAATCAGAAACAACATACCAAGCTCGCATCTTGTGTCTCCTTTCCGTCGGGGTCTTGCGCCCATCCTTTGGGTATCGTTTCACCTTTCCTCATTTGCATTTCTATCTGAAAGAATAAGAATCTCAAATGGTTGATAATAATATATATTTATAACGCAGTAAAATGTCCACCACACAGTATAATAAATACTTATTTGTTATAACTTATTAGTATGCTATTATTTATCTTATTTCATGTTTCTTTTTCCGAACATATAGCGCCATTCGAATGGGCTAAAATTGTGCATATTTAAGTTTTGGTAAGAACGAAATAATATACAGATCCACAGATTAAGGAGTCTACATGCACAGACCTCTTTTGACTATGCACCCAAAGGTCAAAAAAGTCAAAGGTTAAAGAGGTCATTGGAACGAGATAGGAATCTTGTTTGGATCTTACTAATATTACAAATGTTAATGGATCTAGATGAAATTTGGCATAGAGATAGATTACAGTCTGGAATAGTACATAGGCTTTTTATCCCCTAAAAATGTACGGTTTCCGTGGGATAGATTTGTTTTTGTTTTTCTAGAGACGAGCCAATAGTTTTCATATTATGTGTAAATAAATAAATACAATAATTTTGCTTATTACCGGTTATTATATGGGTATTAAATGAATGTCTATAGTAAAACAGGTGGTGAGTAATATTACCTTTCCAACAGCTACAGCGGTAGTTGCCATATCCAAATAAAATGTTTCTCCCTTTGATCCAGGTGCCACTACTGATATCGGATTCGTTCCTAATGCGGCCTGAAAAATATTTTAAAATATTTTTTTTAAGGTAATACTGGAATTAAGGCGTAATTTTAGTTTATTGTATACGTGTATATTAAGTTAAATAAATAAATTATTGTAACTTTAATGAACAATTTACAGAGGATCGAGTTCGACCTCAGCAGCGTCGATGGTCGATATTTTATTAACTAAGTAGTAAACTTAAAATAATGTTATTATATTACGCAGCTGCTTGCTTATTAATATTATCTGTGTATATTTAAGATGTCGTAAGATAGATATGGAGAGATAGATCAAGAGTGCTGTTATGAAAGTTAAAAAAAAATATATAAGTAGGTATACATTCGCAAATTAAATCTAGGCACTTTTAGGAGCTATGTTTTGTTACGAGTATGTTTAAATATTTGTATTGTTAGATAAGACTGGTGATATCACCGCACTTTCTCTTTACTCTAAGCTATATTCTAAAATTTGGGCTAATTACTACTAATAACTAAACCGTCTTAACCGACAGAGAAAAAGAATCATTGTATTTTATACAAATCTATACTAATATTATAAAGAGGTAAACTATGTGAGTTTGAGATATTGTGAGTTTGTGACGTTGTAGGGGGTAATCTCTGGCTCTACTGAACCAATTTAAACGAAATTTGGTAAGAAGATAGTTTGAGACTTTGGGAAGGACATAGGATACTTTTTATCCCGGAGATCATCTCTTAAGGGGGTGAAAATGGGGATGAAAGTTTGTATAGGGAAGCAAGCTAGGGACGAACCCCAGCGATGCGAGGGTAAGTCGCTAGTCTAAAATAAAAGAACTTACTTAAAGATCTCATCTCTACGATTTACATACAATAAGTATTATATACTCGTAAATAAAAAAAACCCAAGAATACAAAATTCTAACGATCAAAGTTCTAATTTGATGATTCGTGTACTCTATAGATTTAATGAATAAAATCATTAATTTAAAAATAAATTATTGCAGGACAGCGGTATTAGCCGGTAACAAAATATGTAATGTACCGAATGTATTGACGTGATCTATTTATTTTCCCCGTAGGTAATAAGTCGGTAATCAATACGTGTATTTATAATATTATTTATATTATTTATTCTTCTCACATTGAATCATATATTATAAGCTTAGGTTTTTTTTTTAAATAATTATCCTGTTTGTGTCATCGTAATTCTTACATATACAGGTATTTGTGTATTTTGTTTGGTGTTTTTATTAATTTATCTTATCTACTGTCGCAAACATTATTAATTATTTGGCGGATGCGAATTGTACTTGCTATGAACACGGTAATGTTATATGTAACATTACCGTGCTATGAACGAGGTTTTTTTCGTTATCTTGTCGCATTACACGATTTCATCTTTATTCTAGACCACCTTTGCCTATTGCAAGGATGTTATTGCTTTTGAATTAAGCCTATAATGTCTTTTTGATTAAGAAAATAATTATTAAAAAGTGCAAATATAGGTTGGAAATTTAAAGTAGTTGAAAAGCACGCCATTCAGACCAAATATGGCGTCAAAGAATTATAACATAACAGAGCGATTATTAGCTATTTTGTCGCTACAAACTACAGTCGTCATTTTTCTATGTATGATATTTTGACGTCACGGTCATCACAATGGCGGGCGTTTAAAGTATCCGGATCGGTATGGTATTTTTTTAATTGTTTTTTTTTAATAAATTTTAGTTATTTTGGAGCTGGATATTTTTTTATAATTATATAAAGATGTTAGCTATTGTTTAAAAAATTAAAAAATCACGCATATTCCCTATTGACAAATACTGTCTATTAATTAAAGGTAAATCTGTTATGTTTGTTATATCGTAAATAACTGCAGGTACCTGTTTACTCCTGGTCGGAGCGAGTAAAGGTGATGTGTTGGTAAAGGCCATCCCTATAAGTCCTTTAGAAGCTGCTTTTTTCGCCCAATACCCTGCCATGCCATTGTGATTTGAACCTGTGAATTTTTAAGTAATTCTACAACATTATTTCCAAATATTATTTGTTACTACTATTTTCGGTATATTATGTATTTTTTTATTTACAATTACATTAAATCCATAATATACGTAGTTATTCAATTTCCCGGCTTTTGTAGTCAAACTGTACGATTATATTGTTAGCTAAACGGCAATTTTTGAAAATTGTTGCTAGATTATAGTCACAGTAGCGATATTATAGGTCTGAGATTATAAACGATTATAAAAATCGGACCACGTTTTTAAATAAACTCTTTACTTATATTTATACTTCTGCTCATTAAAATTAAATATAATTAATCGAAAATTAATAAACATGTACCTTTAACGGTCACCCATCCAACTCCAGTTTGCTTCGCCTTACTAATAGCTAAATCCATTGCAAAATGGCTGACTGTGGCTCCTAGGACATTGTTAGCATCCACCCACGCCGTCGATGCATTTTCTTTAAGAATTTTCGGCTCATTGTTAGGTGTGCACGCACCGGTTATAATGTCATTTACGTACAGTTCTGAAAAGCATATTTTTATGGTACCTTGTTTGTAGTTACCTTACCTAATT